GAACACTCCCAAACTCATTCTATGAGGCCACCATCACCCTGATACCAAAACCAGACAAAGATACTACAAAAAAAGAAAATTACAGACCAATATCACTCATGAATATAGATGCAAAAATCCTCATAATACTAGCAAACAGAATCCAACAACACATTAAAAGGATCATATGCCATGATGAAGTGGGATTTATCCCAGGGATGCAAGGATTCTTCAATATATGCAAATCAATCAATGTGAGACACCATATTAACAAACTGAAGAAGAAAAACCATATGATCATCTCAATACATGCAGAAAAAGCTTTTGACAAAATTCAACACCCATTTATGATAAAAACTCTCCAGAAAGTGGGCAAAGAGGGGACCTACCTCAACATAATAAAGGCCATATGCGACAAACACACAGCAAACATTATTGTCAATGGTGAAAAACTGAAAGCATTTCCTCTAAGATCAGAAACAAGACAAGGATGTCCACTCTCACCACTATTATTCAACAGTGTTGGAAGTCCTAGCCATAGCAATCAGAGAAGAAAAAGAAATAAAAAGAATACAAATTGGAAAAGAAGAAGTAAAACTGTCACTCTTTGCAGATGACATGATACTACACATAGAGAACCCTAAAGATGCCACCAGAAAACTACTAGAGCTAATGAATGAATTTGGTAAAGTTGCAGGACACAAAATTAATGCACAGAAATCTCTTGCATTCCTATACACTAATGATGAAAAATCTGAAAGAGAAATTAAGGAAACACTCCCATTTACCACTGCAACAAAAAGAATAAAATACCTAGGAATAAACCTACCTAGGGAGAGAAAAGACCTGTATGCAAAAAACTATAAGACACTGATGAAAGAAATTAAAGATGATACCAACAGAGGGAGAGATATACCATGTTCTTGGATTGGAAGAATCAATATTGTGAAAATGACTATACTACTCAAAGCAATCTACAGATTCAATGCAATCCCTATCAAATTACCAATGGCATTTCTTACAGAACTGGAACAAAAAAATCTCAAAATTTGTATGGAGACACAAAAGACCCCGAATAACCAAAGCGGTCTTGAGGGGAAAAAACGGAGCTGGAGGAATCAGACTCCCTGACTTCAGACTATACTACAAAGCTACAGTAATCAAGACAATATGGTACTGGCACAAAAACAGAAACACAGATCAATGGAACAGGATAGAAAGCCCAGAGATAAACCCACACACCTGTGGTTAACTAATTTATGACAAAGGAGGCAAGGATATACAATGGAGAAAACACAGTCTCTTCAATAATTGGTGCTGGGAAAACTGGACAGCTACATGTAAAAGAATGAAATTGGAACACTCCCTAACACCATACACGAAAATAAACTCAAAATGGATTAGAGACCTAAATGTAAGACCGGACACTATAAAACTCTTAGAGGGAAACATAGGAAGAACACTCTTTGACATAAATCACAGCAAGATCTTTTTTGATCCACCTCCTAGAGCAATGGAAATAAAAACAAAAATAAACAAATGGGACCTAATGAAACTTAAAAAACATTTGCACAGCAAAGGAAACTACAAACAAGACGAAAAGACAACCCTCAGAATGGGAGAAAATTTTTGCAAACGAGTCAACAGACAAAGGATTAATCTCCAAAATATATAAACAGCTCATGCAACTCAATATTAAAAAATCAAACAACCCAATCCAAAAATGGGCAGAAGACCTAAATAGACATCTCTCCATACAGATGGCCAACAAGCACATGAAAAGCTGCTCAACATCACTGATTATTAGAGAAATGCAAATCAAAACTACAATGAGGGATCACCTCACACCAGTTAGAACGGGCATCATCAGAAAATCTACAAACAACAAATGCTGGAGAGGGTGTGGAGAAAAGGGAACACTCTTGCACTGTTGGTGGGAATGTACATTGATACAGCCACTATGGAGAAAAGTATGGAGGGTCCTTAAAAAACTATAATTAGAATTACCATATGACCCAGCAATCCCACTATTGGGCATATACCGAGAGGAAACCATAATTCAAAAAGACACATGCACCCTAATTGTCATTGTAGCACTATTTACAGTACCCAGGACATGGAAGCAACCTAAATGCCCATTGACAGACAAATGGATAAAGAAGATGTGGTACATATATACAATGGAATATTACTCAGCGATAAAAAGGAATGAAATTGGATCATTTGTAGAGACATGGATGGATCTAGAGACTGTCATACAGAGTGAAGTAAGTCAGAAAGAGAAGAAAAAATATTGTATATTAATGTATATATGTGGAACCTAGGAAAATGGTACAGATGAACCGGTTTGCAGGGCAGAAACTGAGACACAGAAGTAGAGAACAAACGTATGTACACCAAGGGGAGAAAGCGGGGGTGGGGGGGGGGGCATGTGATGAATTGGGAGATTGGGATTGACATGTATACACTAATATGTATTAAATGGATAACTAATAAGAACCTGCTGTATAAAAAAAAAATTTTTTTTTTAATTTAAAAAAAAAAAAAAAGAAGTGGAGTCAGTGAGACTTGCTGATGGTCTGGATGCAAGATGTGAGAAAGGAGAGTCAAGGATGATGCCCATGATCTTCAGCCTGAAGAACGAGAAGGATGGACTTGCCATCAAGTGATGTGGGGAAAGCTGAGCGTAGAGCAGGTTTCTATGTGAGGAGATGAGGAATTTGGCCTCAGATGTGTCAAGCTTGAGATGCCTGTAACCTCTCAGAGAAGTTACTCAGTAAGAAGTTGGATTTGAGTTTGGGGTTTAGTGGAAAGATCTGGTCTGGAGGTAGAAATTTGTCACCAGCTTAACAGATGGCAATAGAAGACACGAGATGGGCTAAAATCCCTAAGGGAGTAAATGGAGCTAAAGAAGAGAGGTCCAAGGACTAGGCTTGGAGGTTGGGAGTGAGGAGGAACCGGCGGAGACTGAGGCCCTGTGAGACGGCGTGATCTAGCCCCTGCCTGCCCCGACAGCTGCATCTCAGTCTTCCTCTTGATCACGCTGGCCTTTCAGCAGATACTAAATGATGCCAAGTCTTACCCTACTCCAGGACATTTGCATTTGCTGTTCCTTCATCCCTGAAGGACCCAAATCAGACCCCAATTCTGCCCATGGCTGGCTCCTTATCTGTCAAGTCTTAGTTTAAGCGTCACCTTCACAGAGAGGACCTATTCCATCCGCCACTACCTGATACATTCATTCTATTTCAGCACCCTGCTGATTTCCCTCAGTGAACTTTTTACAATTGGCTGCCAGGATACCATAGTCTCTTGCTTTTCTTCTTTCTCCGCCAGATGCTCCACTGCAGTTCCCTTTGCCTTCCTTCTACTCTCCCCACCTCTTAATGTTGGAGTGCCCCGGGGCTCACCCTCAGGTCTATCAACACTGCCCCGCTCCGGGATCTCCCCCAGTCATACAACTTTATCTATGTGCAAGACTCCCAAATGTCTCTGTCTCCAGCTCAGACCTCTTCTCCGAAATCAGACTCATACCCAACTATCAACTTGACACCCCCTTGGAGATGTAATACATTAAGATGTCCAAAGTCAATTTCTCAACTTTCTCTCCACAGACCTATCTTCAACCTTCTCTCTCTCACTAGACATCAACACCACTATTCCAGTTACTCAGGACAAAACCTTAGAGTTATGTTTAATTTCTCTGTTTCTCTCCTGCCTCACATCCCAGCTATCAGAAAACCCTGTTTACCTTCAAAATAAATTCAGAATCTGACTACGTCCCTCTCCACTACTCCCACCCTGATTCAAGCCACCAGACATCCCTTGCCTGGTTTACTCAACAGCCTCCTTCTGGGTGCTCCTGCTGCTACCCTTACCCCTCTTTATCCATTCTCAGTACCTTAGCCAGAGTGATTCTTTTAAAACATTAAGGCTTACAGCATTTTTGTGCCACCCTGCCCCCCCCGCAACGAACTTCTCTTACTTTTCCTCCTTTTACTCTCTCCCTCATTCACACCCTGGACTCCATGCTATTCCTCCAACTCTTCAGGGACACTCCTGCCTTTGGCAACTGCTGTTCCAAGATACTCTTCCTCCAGATATCTGCTCAGGCAACTCCCTCACCTGTCACCTCTTACAATCTTTGTTCACATGTTACCTTCTTTACGAGGCCTACCCTGATCAAACTAGTTAAAGCAGACAGCTGTGTCCTCCCTCCTTGCTCTCCTTCTTTTTCCTATAGCATTTATCTTCTTTTCAGGTACTGTAACCAAGGTACAAATTCATCCTGGCTTACCAGGAACTCTCCTGGTTTCCAAAGCCCCACATCTTAGGAACACTCAGTGCTGAGCAAACCAGGATGTTGGTCATCCTACCGATAATTTACTATTTTTATTTTCTGTCTCTCCTCATGATATATAAAATCACTTCCACAAGGGCAGGGACTTGACTGCTGTGTTCACATAGAACAGAGCCTGGCACATAATAGGTGCTCAATAAATAGGGCTTAACCACCAGCCCATCACTACCTTAATCAGCCTGCTGCAAGGGATCACCTAGCAAACTAGCTGAAAATAATCAGGTGTATAATTTGAGCTTTTCAAATTTAATTACACTAAAATTTGAAACTGTGGCATTATAAGGTATGACCAACCAGTGGAAACTAGACACAAAAAATTTCCATATATAAGTTATTCCTAACATCCATAAGCCAAGCCAGGAATGCTACCCCCCAAATCCACACGACCCAAACATTATAGATTTCACATAAAGTGGCCTAATTCAGAAAATAACCTTTGAGGACTTCCCTGGTGGTCTAGTGGTTAAGACTCCAGCTTCCACTCCCAGGGGGCGCCGGTTGGATCCCGAGTGGGGGGAGTTCCGCAGGCCACACGGTGCGGCCAAAGAAAAAAGAAAATAACCTTTGACACCTCTCCACTAACCCTATAATTCCTATGCAAACCGCAGTTTCCAATACCTGCAACTAAGACCTGCAGCACAGCAAACAGGCCAATTCTTACCTCCTGTGTAGAGAAAGGAGCCAGACAGGCCTCCGAAGTAGATGAGAGCTAAGTGCTCCAGTTTCAGAGGGGACAGGTAGTAGAGGCAAGCAGCACAGACACAGCCCAAGGTGTAGAGGAAGACTCCAAACCGGACGACATCCTGGGGCTCCAAGATTCGGTCCACCAGGGTCCTGTCATCACTCTTTTTGTGGTCAATGCCCTTGGAAAAGTCGTAGTAAGTGTTGACCAAATTTCCAGCCCCGTGCACAGCGAGGACAGCTACGGCACAACCCACCAGTAGCCTGGGATCCAGGACGCCCTGGGATCTGTAGGCCAGGGCACTGCCCAGGGCTACCGGGGTGAGTGAGGCACTGAAGCTCCAGGGCCGCAGGGCCAGAACATAGGAGGCGCACTTCTGCCTCCACGAGCGCTGCGGCGGTCTGTCCTGCTCCGGACAGCCGTTCCGCAACAGGTCCCTGTCCCCGACCTTGGCCGTCTCTCCTGCCTGGATGTTAACCTTCTCCCCCGGGACCTGCGAGGCCGCCATGGAGAATGCACTTGGGTGAAGTCAATGATAAACAGTGAGCCACCCACACACAGCGTCCGCCCTGAGGCGAGTACAGGCGGGGCGGCGGACCTGACCTTCTTCGGTTCCACCCGGGGGCAGGGACAGGGAGGCGGCGGGGCCCGGGGACTGCAGCGAGCGGGCCTGGCACCCCACGAGGCTCGGCGGCACCTCCCCGACCTCCTGTCACCTGGGCGAGGACCGCTTCCAGACGCCCGCCTCGTCCTACAGCCCGAGACTGAACCGCTGCCGCCTCTACGCAGCCGCGGGAGCTACCATCTTGGGCACCCGCCACTGTAGGCCCGCCGGGAAACAGGGACGGGCTGCGCGGGCCGGGGCCGGGGCGGGGTTGAGGGCGGGACCAGGCTGAGGGCGGGGCCGGGGCTTGGGGCGGGGGCGGGGCCGGGACAGTGCAGCGACCCAGCGGTTCAGCCCTTCCTCTCCCCGACGGTCCGCGAGCGGCAGTTGCTCCCGGACTTGCTGGAAACAGCCTCACTTAGTATCTCAAGAAGGGCCACGAATGCGTGTCGCTTTACGACTTACCAAGAGCTTTCTCTCACGGAAATAGGACTCATTCATTTTTTTTCACTCAACACGCATTTATTGAAAGCCTACTGGGTGCAACATTTACTGAACACCTACTATTGCACGCAGCAGTGAATAAAACGGATAAAAATCAGGGAGCACATTGAGGGTGATAAGAAAGGTGTAATTAAACTTCCTTTCCAAATGAGAAAACCGAAGCTCTGAAATGGGAAATGACGGTGTCTAGGAAATTATTAGCTTAGCCAAGACATTGAAGCAACCTAAAGGTCCATCAACTGATGAATGGATAAAGATATATATAAAATGGAATATTACTCAGCCATAAAAAGAATGAAATATTGCCATTTGCAGCAACATGAATGGACCTAGAGAGTATCATACGAAGTGAAGTCAGACAGAGAAAGACAAATATTATATGATATCACATATGGGGAATCTTAAAAATAATACAAATGAACTTTTTTATAAAACAGAAACAGACTCACAGAAACAGAAAACAAACTTATGGTTACCAAGGAGAAAGGGGGGGAGGGGTAAATTAGGAGTATGAGATTAAAAGATACACACTACTATATACAAAATAGATAAATAAGGATTTACTGTACAGCACAGGGAACTATATTCAATATCTTGTAATAACCTATAATGGAAAAGAATCTGAAAAAGAATATATACATATGTATCTGAATCACTTTGCTGTACACCTGAAACTAACACAATATTGTAAATCAACTATAGCTCAATTTTAAAAAACTAAACTAAAATTTTAAAAAAGAAATTATTAGCTCTGGTAATAATCATAACAGCAATAATTCCCACTTTTTATTATGCATATTCCATATACTGCCCTGACTGCCTTTTTATCTTTCTTCTAATTTATTTACTTATTCATGCACAGAACTGCCCTCCTCCCCACCCACCAGTTGGCCAGCTTTGTATCTCCATTTCCTGCCTTCTGGGAGCTTATGGTCCATATCTGTAGCTTGTTCTGGCTGGAGAGAGCCAATTGTTAAATTTTTAGGAATTTTGTGAGCAGTCATTAAGCAAAGCCATTATTAAAAATTAAATTAGGGCTTCCCTGGTGGCGCAGTGGTTGAGAGTCCGCCTGCCGATGCAGGGGGCGTGGGTTCGTGCCCCGGTCCGGGAGGATCCCACATGCCGCGGAGCGGCTGGGCCCGTGAGCCATGGCCGCTGAGCCTGCACGTCCGGAGCCTGTGCTCCGCAACGGGAGAGGCCACAACAGTGAGAGGCCCGCGTACTGAAAAAAAAAAAAAAAAAATTAAATTATACAAACTTACAAGTAGATCCATTATATTAAAAGCCAAGGTAACAAATACTCAAAACTCATTACTTCCTAATTATTTCACTACACTTTACCATTTATGCTCTTCAGGTTATTTATGTCTATTTTATCTGCATTGTGGAAATACTACATAATGATGTGCTGCTGCTTATCTCTTCCTACCTGTTCATTCAGTGATATCCGCTGGTGGTTTGAAATCTGCCATGATGGGAGTATTCATACCACACAAATCAGCAAATGCTTCATGATTGTTTTGTACATCATCTGGAATTAAGAAAGTAACAGAGGAAAGTTAATAATGCAGATTAAATTTTTTTTTTTTTTTTTTGCGTTACGCGGGCCTCTCACTGCTGTGGCCTCTCCCGTTGCGGAGCACAGGCTCTGGACGCGCAGGCTCAGCGGCCATGGCTCACGGGCCCAGCCACTCCGCGGCATATGGGATCTTTCCGGACCGGGGCACGAACCCGCGTCCCCTGCATCGCCAGGCGGACTCCCAACCACTGCGCCACCAGGGAAGGCCCAGATTAAATTTTAAGTGTGTCAACTCTGTAGCTGTTTCGTTTTGAGTAGCAGCAAAAATTTGAGGAAATATACTTCCAGTATTAGAATATTATCCAATTCAGCAAAGAAGCCATTCATGTCATTGACGAACTAGTGAAGTTCAATATATCTCGATTGTTTCACTTTCCACCTACTCCTTAACGTAAAAGATAATACTGGGACTTCCCTGGTGGTCCAGTGGGTAAGACTCCGCGTTCCCAATGCAGGGGACCCGGGTTTGACCCCTGTTCAGGGAACTAGATCCTTCATGCATGCTGCAACTAAGCGTTCTCATGCCGTAACTAAAGATCTCGCATGCCACAACGAGGATCCCACGAGCCGCAACTAAGACCCAGCACAGCCTAAATAAATATTTTAAAATATATATATTTTTTGTTTTATTTTATTTATTTATTTTTGGCTGCATTGGGTCTTCATTGCTGTGGGCTCTCTCTAGTTGCGGCAAGCGGGGGCCACTCTTCATTGCGGTGTGCAGGCTTCTCATTCCAGTGGCTTCTCTTGCTCTGGAGCACGGACTCTAGAGCGCAGGCTCAGTAGTTGTGGCACGCGGGCTCAGTAGTTGTGGCGCCCGGGCTTAGTTGCTCCGCAGCATGTGGGATCCTCCTGGACCAGGGCTTGAACCCATGTCCCTTGCATTGGCAGGTGGATTCTTAACCACTGTGCTACCAGGGAAGCCCATATTTTTTTTTAAAAAAAAAAGATAATATCAACCAACAGTCATGTTGGAACTACACTCATTGGTCAATGCAACCACACAGAGGCTACACAGTATCAAAGAAAGCATACTGTTAGAATCAACTGGCTATATGGAATTTATAATAAAGAGTATCGTGTATTTTATTATTATTTGTAAGTTTTGTGCTACACATTCTTCGTATTAGTGAGCGTTATAATACACATATAACATATATGGACACAGGACTGACTACATGATTTTGGTGCCCAGTGCAAAATAAAAATGCAGGACCTCTTGTTCAAAAATCATTAAGAATTTCAAGACAGAGCATTCTGACCTCACAAGTCACACATGATGAAGGAAGCCCAGTATATACATACATGCCGCCCTTCCGTCCCAGCTGGTTGTTAAACATTTACAACTCCACCACCCAGCACATACTTGCAATGTTGGCCAAACCTGAATATCCAATGCTGCCGAATCAGACAAGAGGAAGAAGCAGATATATTCAAATCCTGGCTCTACCACTTACCAACTGTATGACCCAATTCCTCTGGACATCAGATTACTCCTATACAAAGTGGGAACAATATGAACTGCCTCATTCATAGAGATGTTCAGGAACAGCAGTGACAGCATTTGCTGACTGTTCATATGTGTCATACAGTGTTTTGGGTATTTTACATGTATTAGCATTTAACCCACACAATACCACCTACCGAGGTAGGTGCATTATAATCCTTCTAGTTTTATAAATAAGGAAATAGGTACATAAGTGCTTTCTCATATAGTCAGTAAATGTTGGAGCTAAGTTTCAGATTCGGTTAGTTTTGACTCCAAGATGCTTTTAGCCACTACTCTGTAAGGTCCGCCAAAACGCCTGATAGCTTGTAAGTGCTCAATAAATATTAGTTATTATTTTAACATAATGGACAAGAAAGCTCTGTGTAAACTGAAAAGAGACCTATAAATGCACTGATTACTATTGCTATAAAACCATCTTTGATTGTTAATTAGAAAACAGGGCCATACCACGTCTTAGGGAGACAAAAACCTCATATATTGCTGGTGGAAGTAAAAATTGATACCTCCCTTACAGAGATGAATTTGACAATATCCATCGAATTACACATGCATTTACCCTCTGACCCTATAATCGCATTTTTGGTACTATTTTGTATAGCTGCCAGGGAATAAAATTATATATCTACAAAGGCATTCATTGCAGCATCATTAGTAATAGCATGAATTTGAAAATAACACGTGTCCATCAACAGAGAAATGGAAATATAAATTATGATATATCCATGTGATGGAACACTATGCAGCTATAAGAATAACAAAAGAACAAGGAAGCCTTCTATACAGTAAGAAAGAACTCTAAGATACCGTAGAATTTTTAAAAAAATAAATTTATTTATTTAATCTATTTCTTTTGGCTGCATTGGGTCTTCGTTGCTGCGCGCGGGCTTCCTCTAGTTGCGGCGAGCATGGGCTTCTCATTGCGGTGGCTTCTCTTGCTGCGGAGCACAGGTTCTAGGCACGTGGGCTTCAGTAGTTGCAACACGCGGGCTTCAGTAGCTGTGGCTCGCGGGCTCTAGAGCGCAGGCTCAGTAGCTGTGACGCACGGGCTTAGCTGCTCCGCAGCATGTGGGGTTTTTCCCGGACCAGAGCTTGAACCCATGTCCCCTGCATTGGCAGGCGGATTCTTAACCACTGCGCCACCAGGGAAGCCCAGGTATCCTAGAATTTTAAAAAGTACAGAACAGTGTATATAGCGTAACAAAAAAGGGAAATAAGAATATATATTTATATTTGTCTTTTATTTACATAGAAATGTAAAAAATGTAAAATCTAGAGATACATAAGAACTAAGAAAATAAGTAGTGAAGGGGCAGGGGTGGAGCAAGACTTATAATGATAAGCATAATTTTTAATTATTTTGAGATTTGAATAGTGAATGTATTACATATTCAAAAATGTTTAACGACTAAATATAGAGATGTTGAAAACAAGTGAAAAATATGAAATTCAGAGGAACAATTATTTCACAGAAGAATCAATGTAAAGATTCTAAATCTAAAGAAGTAGTCATGGGACTTCCCTGGCGGTCCAGTGGTTAAGGCTTCACCCTCCAATGCAGGGGGTGTGGGTTTGATCCCCTCAGGGAGCTAAGATCCCACATGCCTCATGGCCAAAAAAACCAAAACATAAAACAG